AAAAAAAAAAAAAAAAAAAAAAAAAAAAAAAATATATATATATATATATATATATATAATAATGACTTGGAATTGGACAGAGTCTCTTTTAATAAAATTAAGTTCCCTGCTCTTTCTATTAGAATATTTATAATTCTTCTATTTGCTTAACTGGCTTAGTTTTATATATTTATTTTCATACCAAAAAAATCAACTTTTAGTTTTACTTGCTAGCTCTGTATTTTCTTATTTCATTAGTTCCTCACAATTTTCTTTATTTTTTTCTAAGAAAAATATGTTGAACACATTTTCATAATTTTTGTATTGGAATTGGTTGAGAAAATGGGAATTGAAGAATCAGAGATGAGTTTATTGAAAACTAGGAATCTGGTTAGAAGGTGAGTGGAGATTTCCTTTTGTTGTCTGATTGCTCTAGTTAGGACTTCCAAAACTGTGTTGAACAGGAGGGGTGAGAGTGGTCATCCTTGTCTTGTTTCAGTTTCCAGGGGAAATGGTTCCAATTTCTGTCTGTTTAGCAGTATGTTGGCTGTGGGTTTCTCATAGTTTGAGATAAGTTCCATTTACATCTAGATATTCAAGGGTTTTTATCAAGTATGGGTGCTGAATTTTATCAAAAGTTTTTTCTGCATCTAATGATATAATCATGGGGTTTTGTCTTTACATCTGTTGATACATTTAATTATGCTTATGGTCTTGCAGATGTTGAACCAGCCATGCATCCTGGAGATGAAGCCTACTTGGTCATAGTGGATGATTTTTGAGATGTGTTGTTGGATCTGGTTTGCTAGAATCTTGTTGAGAATTTTAGCATCTATGTTCATCAAGGATATTGACCCGTGGTTCTCTTTCTTTGTTGAATCTTTACTTGGTTTGGGTATCAATGTGATGTTAACTTCATAATATGATTTGAGGAGAATTCCATCTTTCTCGATTGCCTGGAATATTTTCAACAGGACTGGTATCAGCTCCTCCTTGTATGTTTTGTAAAATTCTGCTGGAAAGTCATCTGGAATCAGGGATATCCAAATAGGAAAAGAGGAAGTTAAGTTATCCCTCTTTGCAGACAACATGATTCTACACCTTGAAAACCCAAGAGAATCTGTCAAAAACCTCCTTGAACTGATGAAGGACTCGGACAAAGTCTCAGCGTATAAAATAAATGTGCAAAAGTCAGTCGCATTCCTACACATCAACAATAAACAAACAGAAATGCAAATAGAAAGCACACTCCCATTTACAATAGCCACACACACAAAAAATGAAATACCTCAGTATCTTCCTAACCAGAGAAGTCAAGGACCTTTACAACGAAAACTACAAAACACTGCTCAAATAAATCAAAGATGACACAAACAAATGGAAAAATATTCCATGCTCATGGATTGGAAGAATCAATATTGTTAAGATGTCCATCCTACCTAAGGCAATCTACAGATTCAATGCAATACCCATTAAATTACCAGTAGCAGTCTTCTCAGAACTGGAAATGACAATACGGGAATTCATATGGAAACATAAACAACCACAAATAGCCAATACAATCTTCAGTAAATAAATAAATAAATAAATAAAAAGTGGGAGGCATCATGCTCCCAGACTTTAAGTTTCATTTATAAAGCTGCAATAATCAAAACAGCCTGGAATTGGTACAAGAACAGGCATACAGACCAATGGAACAGGATAGAGATTCCAGAAGCAAAACATCAATTTCTCAACCAATTCATCTTCGACAAAGCCTCCACCATCAGGGAGGAGGAGAACCTACTCAGGGAGGAGAACCTACTCAGTAAATGGTGCTGGGAAGACTGACTGACCATATGCAGATGATTAAGACAAGACTTCTACCTATCCCCATACAAAAAATCAACTCTAAGTGAATCAAAGACCTAAACGTAAAACCTCAAACTATTAGAACTTTAGAAAATGCAGGAGACAGATTCCCTTATGGAAATTGAAACTGGCAACCAATTTCTGATCAAAACCCCAAGTGCCCAGGCCATAAGAGATAAAATAGACAAGTGGGACCTCATCAAACTGGCAAGCTTCTGCAAAGAAACCGTCGAGAGATGGGGGAGACAGCCCACAGACTGGGAAAAAATATTTGCCAACTGTATATCTGACAAAGACCTAACATCTAGGATCTACAAGGAACTGAAACGTGCCAAAAAGAAAAAAAACAAACAGCCCCATTGGAAAGTGGGCAAAAGATATGAGTAGACACTTCTCAAAAGAAGACATACAGCTGGGCTCGGTGGCTCAGCCTGTAATCCTGCGCCTTTGGGAGGCTGAGGTGAGTGGATTGCCTGAGCCCGCGGGTTCGAGACCTGCCTGGGCAGCGAGACCTCATCTCTACAATAAATCAAAAAATCAGCCGGGCATGGTAGTGCATGCCTGTAGTTCCAGCTGCTTGGACGGCTGAGATGGAAGGATCGCTGGAGCCCAGCAGGTCAGACATACGAGCAGCCAACAGATACATGGAAAAATGGTCAGCCTCACTAGTCATCAAAGAAATGCAAATTAAAACCACACTGAGATACCACCTAACTCCAGCAGGATGGCCATTATCAATAACTCAAAAAACAACAGATGTTGGAGAGAGTGCCTCAAAAAGGGAATACTTCTACGCTGTTGGTAGGAGTATAAACTAGTATAGCCTCTGTGGGAAATAGTGTAGCGATTCCTAAAAGATCTAAAAATCCACTTCTCATATGACCCCACAGTCCCCTTACTGGGAATATACTCAGATGAACTTAAATCATTTTATGAAAAAGATACCTGTACACACATGTTTATTGCAACGTAATTCACGATAGCAAAAACATGGAACCAACCATGCTGCCCATCAAAAGACTGGATAAAAAAATGTGGTACATATACATGATGGAATATTATACAGCCATAAAGAAGGACAAAATTATGAACTTCGCAGCAATTTGGATGGACTTAGAGGCCATAGTACTGAGCAATCTATCACAGAAACACAGAACTGAGTATCATATGTTCTCACTCATAAGTGGACATTGAAGAAATTTCATAATACTATAAGAAAGGGATTGCTAGTAGTGGGAAACTGCTAGGGGAAAAAGGGACAGACGTCATCAACAAAGGTCGCTGCATAATGAACACTTGTATACCTAATCCTGAATTGTACCTCACATATCTAAAATTAAAAAAATTTAAAAAGTGAGTAGAGAAATGGGCACATTCTCAGAGAGAAACATTAGTTGGCCTTGGATTTTTTTTTTTTTTTTGAGTTAGAGTCTCATTCTGTCACCCAGGCTGGAGTGCAATAGCACGCTGCTCATGGCCACTGCAGCCTCAACCTGCTGGGCTCAGGCAATCCTCCCACCTCAGTCTTCCTAGTAGCTGGAACTACAGGTGCGTGCTACCACACCTGGCTTATTTTTTGGTTTATTGTAGAGATGACATCTCACCAAGTTGCCCAGGCTGGTCTCGAACTCCTGAGCTTAGGCAATCCTCACGCCTCAGCCTTCCAAAGTGCTGGGATTACAGACTTGAGCCACTGTGCCCAGCTTTTTAAAAAAATTACCGGCAGTGTTACAACCTATTTAAATGGTGATGAGACACATTTGGTACGAAGGAAGGGAATTAATGGTACAGGAAAGGGGTTAATAGTGAGAGCAAAGTACCTGGGTAGGCATGTGTATATGGCTACAGTCAGACACAAGGAGCTGTTTGTAGGCAGACTACTCATCCTTTGTAAAAGGAGGCAGAAGGCATTCATTGTGGAAATCTGCATTTGGTTATTATTAATGGCCCATTCCAAGCATGTGGTTATAGATCAAGAATGAGTCTAGTTAGTGGGGCTGTTTTTCTCTGGTAATATTTTATAGCTTGACCACACTCAAGTAGTATTAAATGGGCAGTGTAAGAGAGTTGGGGTTAACCCTGGGTGAGGTTGTGCCAAGTAGGTAAAAGAGAAGTGTACATGAATGACATTCTGTTCAAAATTTCACAGGGTTCATCAACACGAATGGTACATGAACCTTCTGCAACAGAGGATTCAAGAACACCACAAAACGTGGAAACTTTTTTTTTTTTGTCTTTCTGAAACTAGCATCTCTCTTTGCTTTGCAGTGATGAATAGCCAAGAGAATTAGGGTTGCTGCTTGACAAGTGATCTTAGGATTCCAAGATGGGATAGAGGCGATATACGTTAGGGTCCTGGCAGCAGCCAAAATGGACGATCTTGTGGCCAAGGGAGCTGTCTGCAGAGACTTCGACTTTGGGGAATGAGGGCATCTGGTGACCCGCGTACACCAGGTCTTCAGGACAGGCATCCTGAGGGGATCTGGACTGTGGGTTCGTAATTCTCTGGCAAGGACCAGTCTTGACTCCCCACCCAGGTATGTGCTGTTTCTGACTTCTTGTTTTTGCTGAGCAGGCTTGCATTTTTCTTTCTTAAGTTTTGCTGTGATTCTTGAACCAAACCTGCAGTACCCTCAGAAGCAAATCCATCTGCAAGGTCATCTCTCTCTGAAGGCTGGGACTTTGGTATGGGTTCTCACTGAACAAAACGTTTAGATCTTCTAGCTGCTTCTCTGTGAATATGGTTCGTTTACTGCATGAGTGCTCCTGTTGCTTGCCTCCGGGAAGGTACACTGAACCTGACATCTTCTAATCCAGATGTCCTCATGGGTTCAAGTCCTGGGATGACTGAAACTTTTTTTTTTAATGCTCTACAGAATTTGATACTCGTGCCTAACTTAAACACAACAGTTGAAGCTTTGCTAGACAGAGAACAGGGGTTATCTTTCTCACCTCCTTATACTAATAATTTCTTCTTGGTATTTAGGGACGGAACACTACATTAGATCTTTCTTGCCAGAAGGCACATTAGAATCTCGCAGGGATGCAATTAAGTGTTCTTTTTCTTTATTTAAGTTTACAAAATACATGCTCATAGAAAATTAAAACATTATAGAAATACTAAAGCAGACCATGAAAATTCTCCCATAATCCCGCTTCTTTACAAAGCCACTGCTAACAAAGTGGTCAAAGTGGTGTTACTTCTCTATTATTTTTTAGGGCATCAAGTTATTCTACAAAAATTTTTGCATTTTTTTTTAACATACCAGTAAAGTTTGGACATCTTGCCCTAATAATCTGGACATTCCTCACTCTTTTCATGAATACAGAAATAAAATGCATTATGATATCATAATCTTTTAAAATAGTCCCTTATTGATAGACCACTTGGGCAAGTTTTAATTATTACAGAATAAAGGTGCAATGAATTTGATTGTGCACACTCATCAAGATTATTCCTATTAGGCAGTTTCCTAGAAATGAAGTTACTAGGCCTAAGGGTTCAAACATTTTTAATAAATCCCAGCAAACTACACTCCTAAAGGCTGCAGCAATTATACTCCCACTTACAGCATGCAAGACGGGGCAAGTGTAACTGGAAATGCTTGTTCAAAAATCATGATACAATTTCTTAATTTGGAAAATTTTAGAAAGTTCTTATAACTGTTTTCTAATTAAAATTATAGAAGGTGAAGTTTGACAAATCTTCTTGACTGGTGGGGAATCAGGATCCCAAGGGCTTAAAACCCATATTTGCCAAAAGGAGGAGGCAACTTTAACACTTTTCTGTGAAGTTTCCACAGGATTGCAGCCCTTGCTATAGTTTTAAATAGCCCTGCTGGTATACATAGTTATTTTCCCCAAGTGTCAATACCAGTATTGGTATTCTGCTTGGGAAATAAAATCCAAACTTAAAACATGAGTCCTTCCCACCACAAGCCAGCTTTACTCCTCACTATTCACCTGCAGTCAACAATTCTTTGTCCTAGGACACACCACACACAATCCTGTGTCTGGTTTAGTCTCTTTATGCCTCTTCTTAGAATACCCTTTTCCTTCCTTGTCCTCTTTCAGCTCAAATCCCATCTACTCTATGAAGCCTTCCTCATTCCTTCCTGAGAACAATGAATGGTCTTAACACTCGTGTTTGCCTAGCATTTCACCTACACCTGTCATATAGCACTTCTATAACGAGCTACCAATCTGGAGGACAGACACATCTTATTTCCTGAGCAGTTTCTAGTACAGAACTTAGCAGAACATACACTCAAAAACTGTTTTTGGAAAATACATATGTAAGTTAAATTAAAACTTCTAATCTTTGAATCTCAGTCACAGATATTTTTAAAGGATTAAGAAAAAAACCAAAACTACTGTTCCCCTCAAAACGTGTCCTATGATAACCAGTTTTGTATATTTTTTTAAAAAGGGGTCTTCTAATAAAACTGCCAAAGTATTCTACCTCTAGAATAGTTATGTTCAATAAACCTGCATTTACCTGATATCTTCATCTTACTTCCTAGTATCACAAATCTGTTTATTTCAGAAATAAAAACACGGGGAGTGGGGGCAGGGGACAGTTTATTGTAAAACTCGAAGCAGCAATGATTCAAGCAAGTGTGTTTCTTCTGCTTTATATTCCCAGCCAGAGCACAAAATGACCAAATGTCCTCATCAATGCCAAGCTTAAAAGAGAGAAAGAAAGAGAGAAAAAAAGAGAGAGAGGACAATGCCACATTCATTAAAATCTCTTTCTCTTGATAATTTCTGGTTTCCAGCTGACTGGATGAGTTTCTTCTGTCTAAAAATAGAAAAGTTAAAATAAAGTATTAGTTTGCTTTATAGCTAAGACTTCCCTTCTAATTAAAATAAGGTATCTACTTTATTATTTGGAATTATACATTTAGCAGTTCTTTAACAATTTTAGGTTATCCAAGCCAATAAAAGAGCAATAGGTTCATTACAAATGTAGTATTTAGTTTTTCATCTAAAATAAAATTTGTATTTAGATATTCTAGTAACACCAAAGTTTATGATTCTCAAATTATTTTGCAAAGCAATCTATTTATTTGTTGTTATTCTTAGTGCAACTGCTATAAAATTAAAACCATCAATGGGTTCACTGGCATCAATGACACCAATATAGAAGTCTACAAGCAGACACTACTGAAGATGACAGATACTTTAATACTATAAAGATTATTTTTCCTTTTGATAATTAAATGAGAATATACTTGCCAAATTAGTATGGTTGTATTATTTTACTTTAAATGTATGTGAAACAGAGAACTTACCGCTGTGTCATCCTCTCTGTACACTTTAATGGTTTTATCGGCTTCAGCTGTTAGTAATCGACTTTCGGACTGATCAAAAGCACAAGCAAATATTCCTGATTCACTGTCCAAAGATCCAGGTTGCACAGCTGCATGAACTCTCTGAAAATTGTAGCCAGTTCTCCAGTCCCAAAGATGCATAGTGCCATTGTCAGCTTAAAGGGAAAGATCTAGTTATACTTGGTAATCCTTCAGCAGTACAGCTGTTAAACTTTTATTAAACACTAACCATAAGCCCAAGGACCATGACAATACTACGGTTATAAAGATATATAGAATAGGCACTAAAGCTTCTCTTAATACTCGTTTGTCTACCTTCCTTTGTGCTTGATTCAGAATTTATTACAAATCTTAAAAAATACCACAAAATTTGATATCCAATTCCGGAATACTCAACCAAATCTTAGGCAATTCCCAGCATAAATCCCTTAGATTCATCAGGTGAGAACTCACAGAGGACTAAATTATGACATACACTACATGTATTATAAATATGCATGATATACATCTGAATATTCAACTACATCCTAATTAGGCAAGTGCTATTATAATACTTAGGTGTGATGGCTCAGAAGTAGTACAAATATTTACTCATTCACTTAAAGAGAAAATGACAGACTAAAAGCATTTATTAGAAATATCCCATTTTACCTCCAGATACAAGTACTCCATCAGAATTCACTGTCAATGTGTTAATAATAGCATTATGACCGGAAAGGTTTTGAATGAAACTTCCATCAGGGAATTTCCACTGCTTTATGTTATCTGGAGAACCTGATGCAAATGTGTAACTGAAATATTAAAAAGAATTAATGGCAAAATGAACCAAGTTAAATAAAGTGGTGGGTTTTAAAAAGCTTATTATGATTGTATTTTGCATGTACTCAATGAGCCATGTAGTTTCAGCAAAATACTACTGTCATATCAAGATGTAAAAATATCAAGATATTTGTTCCCAGTTAAAACAGATTTTCAAAGTTTTAAACTATATTTTAAAACCTAGAGTAATGTTTTATTTTCCTTTCATTTCCCCAGTGCTCTGCACTAAGCAAGAGTAATAAATGTGCAAATGCCTTATTTTACATAAGGGTCAAAAGGTTATGCAATTCTTAGAAGAGAGAGAGCAGGACAGGAACAAGGAGAGGGAGAGAAGGAAAGGAACAGAGGGCAAGAGGAAGGAGAGGGAAAGGGAGGAAGAAAGGGAACAAGGGTACAGAGACAGGAAGCAAGGGAGGAAGAGGGAAGAGATAAAGGATATGAATACAAACAGAAAAGTGTCAGGGGTGACAGAACCCAACAAACAACAGGTTGTGATATTCTGCTCCGCCTCCTTGGATACCCTATCATGTTCACAGATCTCACTAGTTCTTTTTCTATGTATCTTAACTTCCTCCTTAATAATTAAACTATTAAATATATGTTTCAATGTCCAATGCCACTTATGTCCAAACATTAAGCCCAGCCACAATTACCTTCTATCTTGACATGCATTTAACATGTGTTTACTCATGTTTTATTTACACTGTTTTGTTTGACATTATTTGTCCCTTTCCTCATGTTATAGAGAGCATGAAGCAAAGTAGTACATAAGGAAAGTAAAAGAAACGCTGCTAAGCGGCACAGGCCTGGAAATGACAGTGGCTAAATGACTGCCAAAACCACCACTAACTTGGTATTTCAGCAGTATACTAAGAACTGAAGAAAAAGATAAGCAAGTCAGGAAAACATACTTACTGTCTGGGATGTAAAACCACAGCCCTAACTGATTTTTTGTGATTTGTTAATGTTACTCTTGTTTTTCCAGCCACCAGATCCCACAATCGTATTGTAGTGTCATGGCTTCCTGTAATACAAATACATACACCCCTCAAAACATAGACTACGAAAAACATGCAAAAGTTAAACATAATAAAATACAAACTATTTCCCCATAAACATACATTCTTTTTTTTTTTGAGTCAGTGCATGCTCACAGCCACCATAGCCTCGACCTGCTCAGGCAATTCTTCTGCTTCAGCCTTCCAAGTAGCTGGAACTACAGACGTGCACCACCATGCCCAATTTTTTGATTTATTGTAGAGACGAGGTCTTGCCTAGTTGCCCAGGCAGTTCTTGAACCCGTGGGCTCAGGCAATCCTCTCACCTCCACCTCCCAAAGTGCTGGGATTACAGGCTCAGCTCATAAATACATATTCTAATGAAAGTCATGCCACCTGGAAATTAGTTTTGGCTAATTTCTTCAGTCTCAAAATTTTAGGATAATTTTAAACTAAATTCTTTAAAAAATGCAACATAACATTTGATTTATTATTACCCGAATAGCTAAAACAAATGCAAATAATAAAATAATATACCTTATGCACTAGTAAAGAGAAAAGGAAAAACCCCAATGTTAATTTTTTATTAGTTAATAAAATATATCAGGCAAAGAAATTATTTTCTAGTCTTAAAAATCCACTGTTATTAATCTTATTTTGAGCAAAGTGAGATTTAAATCAGTTCTAAAGGTTATTTGTCCCATGGCATTTTTGTCTTCTGTCAGTTTTATAGAATAATAACTTTGATACTATAAAATAATTTATTTAGCAGTATAGTTTTCTAGTCAGACATTACAGGACACTATGTATAAGCAAAAAATACGAGATAGGTCTGGTGTGGTGGTTCACGCCAGCAATCCCAGCAATTTGGAAGGCCAAGGTGGGAGAATCACTTGAGGCCAGGAGTTCAAGGCCATGGTGAGCTCTGATCATGTTACTGTACTCCAGCCTGGGTGACAGAGTGAGACTTTGACTCAAGAGAAAAAAGAGAGAGAAAAAAATAAATGAATAAAATCTCATTTGAGTACATTTCAAATGCCTAAAATTAAAGTATATGTATAATTACAATGCATTCTGAAATGAATATGCTGTAAACTTGAAAAGTATCAATTATACCTGTAATAATTTGTGGTTCTGCAGCTTGACACCTCACTGTAGCAACTGCATTTGTATGTCCTGATAATGTGTGTACACTGGCTTTAGTTCTCACATCCCAAATCTATAAAAATACAATAGACATATGTCAAAGAGAATAGGTATTCATATCTCAGGCAGATAAGTGGATCAATTCAAGGCTGGGAATTTACTTAGACAAGTAGTACCTGACTAAAATAAAGATATACACATATATATGTGTGTATATAAATGACTGTATAGAAAATATAATATGTGTGTGGATTATATATATAATGAAGGACAATGATCTATAGGCTGGGAGAGGAATACAGACAGGAAGCAGCTGCCCAGAATTTTAGACAGTGGGAAGATCAGGGTACTGAAATAAGAATGGGCATAATGGGACTATTTTGGGAACTACTGAACTTAAGAGCTACTGGACAATGGTTGTGGTGATAGAATGGGATGTGAGAGTGTCGCATTTCAGGATCTGGGCACTAACAACACTGGGTGGGGGGAGGCCACAGAACTGAAGACTACAGTGGAAGACACATTCCAGTTCAGAAACTGAGGGACTAGGGTGTTGATGAGACAACTATCTTTAATTCTCTAGTAAACAATTTAAGACTTCAAAACCAATCATGCATACTACAAGATGCAACATATTCACAGACAAACACATAGCTCTATCCCATTTACCCGTGCAGTTGAATCCCGACTGCAGGTTACCAGCACATCGATTGTTGGGTGCAAATCCAAGCCATACACTGCACTTAAATGGCCATGATAGTGCCTTATCACCTGAAGATAAAAGCAGGAAAGTTACGATTTCTAGAATGAGAAAAACAAACTGCAGCTTATAATATTTAAAATCTTTAACATGGAGTTTACCTTATTATATTCAAGATCCCAGCACTTCACTTGTTTGTCTTCTCCACAAGAGAACAGGTATGGGCTCCTTGTGCTCACTATCACGCCCCGCACAGTACTAATATGCCCAGTCAGAGACAGCTTTAATTTGCCACTAGCTAAGTCCCAGATCTGCAATCAAAAAATATTTATTTTTTCTTTTTGTTAGTTCCCTCAAAGTAAACTTTTAAAATCCTGATGTTAAAATTAAGTTTTCAAAGAGGAAAAGAGATAAATGTATAAAAATTAGGAATTCACATTTTTATTTTTATTTTCCAAATAAAAGCAGAAAAGAATAAAACAGCATGCTCAAACTGGGAAAATATTTGCACTAGATGATAAAAAGTTAATATTCTTATAGATTATTACTGAAAATAAAAATATAAATAGCATGGTATTAAATTAGACAAGGATAGTAACAACTTAAAGAAACCCCAAAAGCAGCAAATAAAGATATGAAAAAGTTCAAATTCATTAGAAATTTTTATAAAGTTTTAAAATAAAAGATTAGATACCCATTTGCGCTTATCACATTAGTAGACATTTTTAAAGGGATGCACAACCAATGTGCTGAAAAGGATATTTTCATACACTGCAACTATCAAGTCACCCATTTTTGAAAGTAATTATATTGTGGGTATCGGCCTCAAAAATTTTTGACCCATTAATTCAATATCTGTTACTCTACCATAATGTTCAAAAATATGAAAATAAGTTATATATTAAATAGCATTATGCAATTATTTTAAAAGATGTTGAATTTTTCATAAAAATGTTCCTTCAATACGATGTTAAGTGAAAAAATTAGGACACAAAATTACGTATCAAGAGCAGTTCTTAAAAGATACATATTTGCATGCATAGGATAAAAAGCTTAGAAGTAAATGCACTACTACACAGAAATAAATACTAAAGTGAAGTTCATCCAAATATCTAATAATGGTAGGATTATGTATGGGGTCTACTATCTTTTACAGTCCTTTTTTTTTTTTTTTTTTTGAGTTGGAGTCTCACTCTGTCACCCAAACTGGAGTAGCAGTGGCCGCTCCCGGCCACCACAGCCTCGACCTGCTGGGCTCCTGCGATCCTTCTGCCTCAGCCTTCCAAGTAGCTGGAACTACCGGCGCACGCTACCACGCCTGGCTAAGTTTTTGATTTATTATAGAGATGAGGTCTCGCCAAGTTGCCCAGGCGGGTCTCGAACCCACGGGCTCAGGCAATCCACTCACCTCGGCCTCCCAAAGCATGGGATTACAGGCTGAGTCACCGAGCCCAGCCTTTTACAGTTCTATTTTCCTCATTTTCTATAGAAGAGTGTGCTCTAATTTTGTAAGAGGGGGTGGACATAAGTATCAAGAAATTAGTGGTAAGTCATCAAGTTTGGAAAAAACTATTGTTTTGATGCCACTTAAAAAAACATTTTTTTTTTAAATCGGAGTCTCACTCCATCGTCCAGGCTGGAGTATAGTGGCACGCTCACAACCACCCTAGCACTGACCTGCTGGGCTCCAGCGATTCTTCTGTCTCCGCCTTCCAAGGAGCTGGAACTATAGGCGTGTGCTATCACACCCCACTAATTTTTTTTTTTGTTGGTTTGTTTTTGTTTGTTTTTGAGTTGGAGTCTCATTCTGTCATCCAGACTGGAGTGCAGTGGCAGCTCCTGGCCACTGCAGCCTCGACCTGCTGGGCCCCGGCGATCCTTCCGCCTCAGCCTTCCAAGTTGTTTTTTAATTGTAGAGACAAGGTCTCACCATGTTGCCCAGGCTGGTCTCGAACACATGGGCTCAGGCAATCTTCTCGCCTCGGCCTCCCAAAGTGCTGGGATTACAGGCTTGAGCCACCAAAAATAACTTTTTTTGAGGAGTTTCACTCTATTGCCTAGGTTGGAGTGCAGTGGCATGATCACAGCTACTACAGCCTCAACCTGCTGGGCTCAGGCGATCATTCTGTCTCAGCCTTCCAAGTAGCTAGAACTACAGATAAGTGCCACCATACCTGGCTAATTTTTTGATTTATTGCAGAGACAAGTTCTCACTGTGTTGCCCAGGCTGGTCTCAAACCCCTGGGCTCAGGTAATCCTCTTGCCTCCACTTCCCTAAGTGCTGGTATTATAGGAGTGAGCCACTGCGCCTGCCCTTAATACCAACTTTTTAAAGTTTGGAACTCTTACTGGCATAAACAATAAACTGTACTACGTTTAAGTCTAAGAAGCCAGAGGAAATGCAACAACAATTCCTGCCACTGGAAATAACTTACAACAGATTAAACTTACACGACAAACAGAAAGTCATGTCTATTTTTTTCTTCCTTGTTACCTTTATAGTTCTGTCAGCTGATCCAGTAACAAACCACTGATTTCCAGGTTCCACAGCAATACATCGAACCCAGCCAAGATGCCCACTGATAACCTAAAAGTAGAATGGGCAGACTTATTAAGAGTTAAATGTATTCAATTTTCACCACAACTGCCCCCAGTCACATCTTCAAATCATTAAGTTTAAATAATAAACATTAAATTACCTTGAATGGGTGAACAGATACACAGATTGTGATACATCTTATACAATGGAATACTACTCAGCAATAAAAGGGAATGTACTATTAACCATTTGCACTCAGATGGGACTCTTGGGGACATCAAGAGATTATTGATGATTATACAGGACAAACTTATGCAAGCATAAATTTTTCAAAAACGTGTTTTCTTGATGTTTTCCATTCAAATTGCCCAAAATAAAGAGATGGAATATATACTGAGATATACGTTAAAAAAAAGCAGGTATTACGTAGAAAGAGAATGTTTGAAGTGCTTTCACAGCGCTGTCAACACTTTTTGTAACCAAAAGTAGTGATAAAAAGTGTCTGTACAAGAAAGACAGCTATAGGTATACAGTATGTGTCATATGGCATAACTTGAAAAGACAGATAAGCAAGTTATTGTAGCCTTAAAATAAAGTTGAAGTTGAAGGCAGATTGTACTGAAGTATCAAGTGGTACAGATCTAATATATCTATCTATACTAAGTCAGAAAAGTAAAATTGGAAAAGCAGTATTCCTTTGATAAAGTTCATTTTGTGATTTTGTAATTTACAACTAGAAATTTTAAAATCTATTTGCTTGCAGAACGATGACAAAATGAAAAGACAAAATTGAGAGTTATAAGCAGCAGCGAAGATGAGTTAGATTTCGACCTTTTTTTTGTTTTGCTTTTTGAGTCAGAGTCTCACTCTGTCACCAAGGCTGAAGTACAGTGGCACGCACACGGCCACTGTAGCTTCCACCTGCTGGGCTTAGGTGATACTTCTGCCTCAGCCTTCCAAGTAGCTGGAACTAAAGGTGTGCACTACCACACCTGGCTTATTTTTTGATTTATTGTAGAGACGAGGTCTCACCAAGTTGCCCAGACAAGTCTTGCACCCCTGGACTCAGGCAACCTTCTTGCCTTGGCCTCCCAAAGTGCTAGGATTACAAGTTGAGCCAGCACGCCTGGCCAGATTTAGACTTTTATACAGATAAAAGTTAGAAAAAATAAACACTGATGTGGAAGAAAACAGTATTAGCAATAGTGATATCTTCCTATCAAGAAGAAAATGGGCGAATGCAATAGAAAGTGACAGCGATGAAAGCGTTAGTAGTTTCAGAGAAAAGACAATGTATAGTCAAGTGAAGAATGGGAAGATGTAATAGAAAAAGACAATCCTCCAGTGAGAATAAATTTTGTTGTACATCCTCAAACAACAGGGCCACAAATAGCAAATAATATAAGAGAACCGACTGACTATTTTACTCTATATTTTACAAATGAATTAGTGAATTGTGTAATGAAAGAAACAAATCATTATGTGGATGAAAAAATAAACAGCAGCTATCACACAAATCAATTTGGCATTATGTTGACCAACAGCAATTTTTAGCTTTTATCACAGTTAACGTAATGTGGGAGGACAGGCATCTGGTTCTTCTACCATGACAATGTGCCTGTCCACACAACGCTGAGCATTAAGCAGTTTTTGACAAAAAGATGGCATGACCCATGTCTCACCTTCTCTATTCACCTGATCTTGCCCTGAGCGACATTTATTTTTCCTCTGACAGGGGTAGAGGAGGGTAAGACTACAAAAGAATAGCACAGGGGTGTTTTCTGAGGTAATGTCACTTAAATATCCTAATTCTGGTAGTGGCTACCCAAGTCACTACATCTATTAAAATTCATTAGACGTATACATCAAAAAAGGTTCTTACTGTAAAATTATTTGAAAAATAAGATTTTAAAATGTGTTAAATTATGTGTAGCTGTATATTTCCTACTATATATTTTATTTCATATCTGATACACTTTGAATCATTTTAATTTACTGCAGTTAAAATAATAATTGATAGGTGCAAAGAAATCTTTACATGATGTTTTACCCCTCGGCCTTCATATTAAATATTTCCAACACTTTCCTGAATTTATTGAGTCTGTTCTCCACATTTAGTAGCTTGCTATCAATATTTTATATGAAAATAAAGTATAGATTTTACTTAAGGAAGTTTTCTTCCCAAGATATCTTTTATAGTGCTTAAGTTCCTTCTCAATCTACCTCAGTTTTCATATTCACTCTTTTTCTACCTTGTTCTATTCCTCAGCTGTTGCCAACTGGAATGCAATCATGTTCCATATAATGAAATAACATGAAGATTCACTCACCCTGTAGAGTTTCCATGGTGGATGCCACTGGGGTTTCGGCATTGTGGGGGCTTTTTTAGCCATCAGTGCAGAGTTCTTAGTATTGCCAGTCTCCATAACAATCTAGATATGGAACAGACTATATTATCATCAAAGATATCATCTAAGGTTTTATGTTATCAATTAAAAAATGGAAATAGAAAAAGGGACCCTATGGAAGTTTTTTTCCTTAGATGAAGAGCTAAAAGTTTCTACTTATAAAAAATGTTTCGGTATGCTAATTTTAAGAAACAATTTAAAAACCTCAGAGAGGCAGAACATGAGACTTAAAAGCACACATCACCGTGTATTAGTTCAAAACCCAGCTCTGCTGATTACTAGCTGACTGGCCTTGGGTAAAAATTATGTAACCTCTATATGCCTCATTTGCAAAATGAGAAAGAATACTGCCTATTTCACAGGGGTATCGTGGAGATTTAAAGAGTAGTAAATGATCTCAGTAAGCTCCTATTATTACTGAAGTCATTTTAAATGTATTAATGCCACTGCCTTTGCCATATTTTAACATTATTGATTTAAGATGGCAAAGAAGTGACTGATGGCTCCTTCTGTTTAAATTTTAATACATTATTTAAATACTATTTTAAAAGCTATACTAACTGATATATCAACTACTATTAGCATATATCTATTCATTCAAAAAATATTTAAGCCTACAATATTCCTGTCATCAAGAAACTTAAATTATACCCTCTTAAGGAGGCAGAGAGCCTAGACAGAGAAACATTCTCTGAATGCTCAGCCTGTAATCCCGCGTCTTTGGGAGGCTGAGGTGAGTGGACTGCCTGAGCCCACAGGTTCGAGACCCGCCTGGGCAACTTGGCGAGACCTCATCTCTACAATAAATTTTAAAAAATGAGCCGGGCGTGGTAGCGTGTGCCTGTAGTTCCAGCAACTCAGAAGGCTGAGGTGGAAGGATCGCTGGAGCCCAGCAGGTTGAGGCTGCGGTGGCCAGGAGCAGCCACTGCACTCCAGTCTGGGTGACAGAGTGAGACTCCAACTCAAAAAAAAAAAACAAACAAAAAACGAAGAGAGTTATCAATTCATTCACGTCATAAAGTCAAATTAATTGCATAATAAACTAAGGAAGTAAAGCCTGCACTTATTTCAAGTGACAGCCTAATAAAGTAAACTGTATATCTTCAGTTATTCTTTCTAAAACTATTTCTGCCAAACTAAGAACATCTGCCATTTATTTATAAGCAGATAAAATTTATGTATTTGTAGACGTTTATTTATAAGACTGATTGTATAGCTTGTGAATATTACAACACTACTAGCATTCAGTGTAACTGTATAAACTAAAGTTTAATAAAAAAAGACTTTTATGTCTAATATACACTAATACAAGTTTCAGAATAACACACCTTGTATTTTGACTAGTAGGCAATAAATACCAACGTCACATTATTTTCTTTGGTTATTTTCTTTTAAGAGTCAACTGCTCAGGCTGGAGTGCAGCGGCTCGCTCACGGCCACCGCAGCCTTGACCTACTGGGCTCAGGCGATCCTTCCGCCTCAGCCTTCCAAGTAGCTAGAGCCACAAGCAGGTGCCATCATGCCTGGCTAATTTTTTTATTTATCGTAGAGACAAGGTCTCACCAGGTTGCCCAGGCTGGTCTCGAACCCCTGGACTCAGGCAATCCTCTTGCCTCGGCCTCCCAAAGCGCTGCGATTTCAGGCTTGAGCCACTGTGCCCAGACTAACATTATTTTCATCAAAACACACAGAAAGTATATTGTGCACAGACACACATAATTAACAGAATTTTATATTCTAAAAAATATCAGTTTGCTAATAACTTGAGATTAAGGGCTATGAAATATGAACAACTAGCTCAGGCTGCTAATTATCTTAACAATTCCAAAGAAGTATTCATTTCTTTAATACTTAATACTTAAGGTAAGGCTTTGGGGATAAAGGGAAATAAGGCAACCTGTTCCAAAAGTTAGAAATGGGACATCTGACAAAGAGTAACATACTGAATTAACCACTGTAGGCTGTGAACGGTCAGAAGCCCCAGGATGTCGGTATTCACTTCCACCAGGTGCAGTACGATTTGCATCAACCCTGAAACAAAAGAAATATTACATGCAAAGTAATTAATGCCTCCATTCATGCATTTTGCAAAAAAAAAAAAAATTTTAATTTTTGTATGCTCTGATAAAGGGAAATGTCATATAATAGTTGTAAACAAACAAATTTAGAAATGAAAAAACTGTAAATAGTGAAATATGTTTTCAAGAGTTTTGTAATTATGAGCATAAAATCTCATACCTAGCCTGAGAAGGTAATGCCACTGCCAAGGACTGTGCAGCTGATTCACTTGGCATTCTCTGGATCTTAGTATCTGCTGTCAAAGCAACCCCTGTTAAAATGAAAAATCAATTCCATTTAGTAGCTATCTTTGCTTTCATTTACATGCTTTTAAATTAAAATACTGGAAGAAAACATACACCAAATGGCTATTATCTCTAAGTGGTGATATCACAAACATTTTGATTAAGTTTTGCTTGACTTTTTTAGTAATATTGCTTACTAACACATAAATTCGATTACATCAACTTAGTATTAAAGTAGCTTAAATAGTAAAGAATTTCCATTATATTCAGACATTACCTTCAAAAGTAAAAAATTAAGCAGTTCCTCAAATATGAACAGAATGTTTCCAAATGTAAGTTACTCTAAAAGAAGCATCCACTTTCCCTATACTTTCTATATATACTAAACTTTTTATTCCACTCTTGTTATTTTAGTCAATCAATGTGGGCCAATACCTCTACCTAGACAGAGGACACATTTCTATCATATCCAAATCTATACTAACACTTCTATCATTTTTATAAGCTTAGTAATAGTTATACATCTGCCTAAACCACCATAAAATAAACGTGCCTAATTCTTAGCATAGTGCCTAAAAAAAATACAGGTACTATATTTCGTGTGTTTGGTGTTTGGTGAATGAATGCATATGAATGTTAATTAGAATCTACAAAGCTACCCATGGATGCTTGACTACTGAGTTTATCCTGTATTTTATAGGTAATGGAAATATCATTACTGGTTCATTGGCAAAAATACATGTGACAATAAAATATTTTCAATATGCAACAGCTCACTAACCAGGTCCTGGTGGATATGGATGTGTACCTGTAACCAAATATTCAACTTCTTGTCCTAAAAAAAAAGAAAAAAAATCATCCATTACAAGTATCATTTTTTAACGTATCAGATAATATTAAATTATCAACTGGATTTCTCAAATTTTCCCAACTAAACTCAAGTCTCAGAAATAGTTGATCAAAAGTTGATCACTTTTGTTTTGACCTCTGTAAACCACGTACACAGCTATTTCCTTGCCCATTTGCTGATACGAGGCCAAGAAAGCTTGCATATTGTCTAAAGAGCAACAGTGAACAGAGATATGCCAATTGAGTGACAATCCACTCTGGTTTTTCTTCCAAGCAAATGGTTTCCTGTAGAAGCCTGACTTTTCTTTATTCATTACAATTTATTCAGTTCTTAATTTCATCTTTCTGAATTATAAAGAAGACAGATGGGCTCTTTTCCTCCCTGACTGCCTGAGGATCGACAGCCATCATGAACGACACGGTAACTATTCGGACCAGGAAATTCATGACCAACCGTCTGCTTCAACGGAAACAAATGGTCATCGATGTTCTTCACCCCGGGAAGGCAACAGTACCTAAGACAGAAATTCGGGAAAAACTAGCCAAAATGTACAAGACAACACCAGATGTCATCTTTGTATTTGGATTCAGAACTCATTTTGGTGGTGGCAAGACAACTGGCTTTGGCATGATTTATGATTCCTTGGATTATGCAAAGAAAAATGAACCCAAACATAGACTTGCAAGACATGGCCTGTATGAGAAGAAAAAGACCTCAAGGAAGCAGCGAAAAGAACGCAAGAACAGAATGAAGAAAGTCAGGGGGACTGCAAAAGCCAATGTTGGTGCTGGCAAAAAGTGAGCTGGAGATTGGATAACAGGCAAAGGACTAAAGATGGTGCAGTGATGGTATCTGTGGCCATTGTTTGGATTTTTCACGACCAGCTTAATAAACTAAAAACTTTTCACATGAAAAAAAAAAAAAAAGAAGACAGATGGTCTCCCCACAAGTTAGAAATAGTCTCCAAATTTTACCTTTAGTCTTGAGACCACTGTGACCTTCTCAACATTCTAAAAACTTCTACCACCATTATACTACCAATTTTATTTCTTTTAAGGAAAAAACCATCAGCTAATAATCTCACTGCTCTTATGAGGAAATCAAGAATCCCATTATAAAACTGCCACAGCCATTAAATATTGAATGGCCACAATTAGTCCTTCCAGGAGGGATACAAAGAACATATTTTATTTGTTTTCCTATTTTTTTTTTTGAGTTGGAGTCTCACTCTGTCGCCCAGACTGGAGTGCAGTGGCTGCTCCCGGCCACCACAGCCTCGACCTGCTGGGCTCCTGCGATCCTTCTGCCTCAGTCTTCCGAGTAGCCGGAATTACAGGTGCGTGCTACCAAGCCCGGCTAATTTTTTGATTTATTGTAGAGATGAGGTCTCGCCTGCCCAGGCAGGTCTCGAACCTGCGGGCTCAGGCAATCCACTCACCTCAGCCTCCCAAAGGCGTGAGATTACAGGCTGAACCACCGAGCCCGGCCTGCCTTCCTATTTTTAAAATTCACACATACATCCTGACATTATGATAATACCATACTCACCCTGATTTGCAGGATACTGTTTATGACCATAGGAATCTGCTGCATTCTGAGGACACTTCTCTTTAAGATTTTCTTTTGAAGTGGGCATATGCAACACAGGGCCATACTCATTACGAAGCTTGATTGCCATTTTTCGTTTATGACTATTTAGAAATTATAAACATAAGAATGTATCCTTAAACACCTTATAAATGTATTCACTAATGCAAATGTTTACAGACAGTCAGGAAACAGGTATTTAAATAGCTTAAGTTTGTGCAATCATGTAGAAAAAGTTTCCAGTAAGATTTTAAAGTTAAATAGTGTTTTAAAGAATCAAAAATGCCCAAATGCATTTTCACACCAATCTATTTACTCTTGCTCACATTCCAGCACACAGCATTCATTGAGCCTAAGTAATATTTTAGTTTGTTACCTAATATACAAAATATTCCATGATAAATTATCAAGGGTAGAACTGATTTAAAGATATATAGAAACAAATATATCTTTTTAAAAAACCTCAAAGCCAATATACTTTTCTTCAAATATCTAAACATAAAAATATAGTAAAAACTTCTATAGCAACCTTTACTAGATATACCTTAAAAAGTTAGTTAGAACTAATCAAAATACTTAATTAGTTCAGTATTTTAAAAAGAAATGCACATATATTACTTTTAAGAATAGTCTGCTTTGTAACTTAAATGTAAATGCTTGTTTGAGGAATTAAGTAGATTTTTAAAGAAGGGTAAAGGACAAAGAAAGAACACTGCACATAATGCAATCCCAGACTGCAGCTGGAAATGTAGAACGAAAAATATGCCACCACTCAAAAATCTTCATCATACTAACGAGAAAAGATGGGAGTAGAGGTACGGGCCAGGTACAATTTCAGCTCAGCAAGGCTCTGAGAGCAGCGGGAAGCTGAAAGCACATACAAAGGGATTGATTATAAAATAAAATAAAATACCTAACAGGGACTTTCCTAATTACTGGGCATTTGTAAAATGCAATTAATTAGTGGAATTTTTTTTTTAAACCATAAAAGGTCAAAAAAAAAAAAAGTTAAATCAGCTTTAAATTACGGCAAAATACCACTCATCATTGAACAAACAGCTTACTGAATGTTATATACTTATAATACTAGCTAGTCTTTAAAGATCTCCCTCTCCTTGCTCTTTTTCCACTACTAGAATTTTAACTACTTTAGCAATTGAAGCAAAACTATCCCTACCTCTCTTCATCCAAAGGCACAGGTTTTCCATTATCAGCTACAAACATGTCATGGGTCCTCTTCAATGACCTGAACACAAGTGTGTGCACAGAATGTTTTTGTACTTCCTAGGAAGAAAGAACGTAATTACACATCTTGCTACAAATTAACATAATTCACAACTTAAAGACAAATCAGTTACACACTTTAGATGTTTAAAATGTAAAAAGCTTTATACCACTCACCAGTGCTACTTGTAGCAAGCTACAGGATTCAAGTTCAGAGAAGAGGAGGGAGCTCCTCTTTGGCCAGCGCCCCAGGTATAGCAACTGAGTGATGACTGAGATTGGTCATTTATTCAATAAATATTTATTGAGCTTGTACTATGTGTCTGGCAGACACTGTGCTAGAAGCTAAGAATGGAATGCTCAGAAGATAGTCATGGTCTCTGTGCTCAAGAGGAAACAGACAAAAATAAGCAAAATAATTCCTTGCTTTGATAAATGCTATGAAGACAACAAGCAAGAAGAGGCTGAGTCACAAAACAAAGGGAAAAAAAGTATGATTGTGAATTTTTTTTGAGGTGATAGTTATGCAGAGAGAGAATTAGCCTCCTATAGAATAGAAGGAAGAACAAACCAGACAGATGGAAATGCCATGTGCAAAGGTGTTCAGTAACTGAAATAATGCCAGTGAGAAGGTGCTTTGTGGTGCACGATGAGGTTGCACGGGTAGAGAAGAAACAGATTAGTTAAGGTTTTTGTAGACCACTACAACAATCTATGTTTTCGTTCTAGTAACATAGGGACAGGAAAGGCTTTTAAGAAAAGTATAAGCAACTTGTGTTTTAAACTGAACAATTTACAGGAGAAAGAAAATAGAAGCAAGGAGATCATCTGGAAGCTAATGTGCCAGGCTAAGAGAAAGATGATGTTGGTCTGAATTAAGTTAGACTGAAGAGTGGATGGAATCAAGAAATATTTGGGATAAGATGCACAAGCCCTACTAACAGTATGGTTGCTCAAGCTAGGGAAAGATGTAAAGAAATCAAGGCAGGTTTTTCCGGGGGTAGGGCTGAAGCAAGGGAAGAACTGAATGCAAGATAGAGAAAACCGCCAGTCTTTGAGGACGCAGAATCCCAGACACTACCCTGCAGGCGGTGAGCACCAGTGGTGAAGCATCAACAGAGGCCCCGCCTCCGAGGACAGTGTCCAGCTCCCAAGAGACAAATGAGGATCGGAGGAATTATCTCAGGCTTCCCGCCCGGACGCAGCCTCCGACTCGGGTTCTCATCCAGCCCCTCACCCTTCCCCGAAAATCTTCAAGAGACCACCCGGCCTTAGCCAAACAGCTCCCCTCGCAGCCTCTTGTCTTCCCACATTCCAAGCACTCCCAACCCTCCACGCTAGCTGCCAAATAAAAACAGTCCAGAGACGAACGACTCTGGAGAGTTCAAGTGTCATTTTACCTCCACCATGATGGGGCCGTGAGTCCCACCAGCAGCAGCCAAGAAACACTAATCTCCAGCGCAGAACCCGCCGCCACAACCGTGCAGCCCCTTCCGGAATCGGGCTCCCCGGCGCCGGATGTGACGCAAGCCCCGCGCACGCGCGCTGGCCTCGACCCGCCACCTGTGATCGGGAGGCGGAACTTCCTCGTCGGGACCGCCTCCGGGGCGGGGTTTCGAGACTAAGGGGGCGGGGCCTCCTGGGCGCGATTGGCTGGAGGTTTTTTCACACGCTCTTCCGCGGAAGACTTGAAATCAGTTTTCGCCTTACTCTCAGCCTTAAGTGTTTTGATGTGGGGGATTCCTGGAAGCTTAATGCTTTTTATCAGAGAACGTAAGAGTCTGGAGAGGAAACCCCTGTGGGCTCTAAGGCTCTTCCACTGACCTTTGGGGGTCGCCTCCGCGCTTTTGTCGCCTGGTTCCTATCCTGGCTGGAAGCACATGGACGCTGTTGTGGGCTTAAAGCCTAAAACAGTTTCCCTTAAACAGTCCAGTAAACAATTGTTGAATGTTGTAGAATGGTTGCTGCAGTTTGAGAAATTCTGTCCTGTAAATATGCATAATAACCTTGTTTTAACCACTTATGGCAAAATCCCACATTTATCTTCTGTTACGTAGATTTTTGTCCAGTTTCTTAAAACTGCATAGCTCTTGACTGTTTCCAGATTGTCTGCTGATTAATGTGGCTTCAAGAATTCCAGGGTACAGCTTTTTAAAGCTAGTGGAAGACAAACATAACAGAAAACTTTAACCATTTTTATTTATACATAGCGTACTGTCAAGTATTGGTATTTTGTTTCGTTTTCTACCGCGGTAAAATCTGCGGTTGGTGATCAATCCTGCCCAATTGTCTTTCTTTGTGAAAAGAAAATTGATAGAGTTGGGTATTTGCATACCTAAGCAGACAAACATTTCACGGACCTGCTTCAGTGCTACTGATCCTGTCCCCAGAGCATACTGCATACTTAGAGAGGAAGAAAAAAGTCTAGCAAAAGAATAGTGTGACTCAACCATCTCAGAAACTGTTTTAAAGACATTAAGGTCATGTTTTTCTTGAAAATACAATCATCTCTGAATTTGAGTGTGGATATGGCCTAAGAACTGATTTTCTGTGAAAGAGGCCTCTGATGGTAGATCTTGCAAGAAAATACCATGATTATAAGATATGTATTTAGGAAACCAAATCATGTTATATGCTCACCTGTCGATAGAAATATGTAGAGAAAAGAACATGATTTTAAATGACAATAAAGCTATAGAAATGCAAGTAAGACATATATCTATTGCAACGTAATAACTATATACTTGGGCCCCTTATTAACTTTTTAGATATGTAATTATCCTGGAAGCATTTAATTTATAAAATAAGACTAATTCAAAAACATTGTAATGATTGCTGTACATTGCACTAGATTTTGCCCCTTTTACAACTCTCTCTTGAATTTATGGAATTATGCCTTCCACTTGAAAGTTAGCAGCATTTTAGACAGATATTGGGCTCAAGTGACTCTATTATGTATTTAAGAGATTCATGAATATATATATTCTATAAAACATAACTATTAAGTTATTGTTAACTTATTTATTGTACAAACATTTATTTGTAAAAACTAATTTATTTGTAAAAACACAAAATCTGCCACATATAATTTTGTATTTATAAAGAAACCTACTGTTATTGTTTTACCTGGAGAAAAAGTCTAAGTTTCATTGGATTTGTGAAGGCCTCCAAGGGATCCCTGCTCTGGATGACATCACCACCTGCTTTATTTGAACAGTAGGTGTCACTACTGCTCTTCATAAGGGCTCAGAAGGTTCTCTTTAAAGCAGACATGGAGAATAATTTATTAATGAAAATACTAATATTATGTCTGTAAGAAACCCGTAATACAAATTTTAAGGAAAATTATCCTTCTTTAGCCAATTTGTTTTACTCACTAATACAGAAAATATTTTTATTCTCCTTTAAATGCATCCTTTGCTCTTGAGCAGTGATAGGTCACATTGAAAAAGATTCGAGGGCCACTTTCATCAGCTTCTTACCATACATTTTATAGGAAGTGGTTTACAATTTTTATAAAAATGATGACTATTACTATTTCTTCTGTTTCAGCTTGGAGAGCTGAATATATAATCTTTTAAAAACACTGTATGCAATATTCCTTAGAATTTTGTGGCTCAGTATGTCCGTCCCTTAAATTTCTTATTTTAAATTCTAAACTAATTCAAAAGAGAGTTACAGTGGAAGCTATAATTTCTTATTTGGATTTCTGGGTCAGAATCTGTGAAAAATGATACTTGGACATTTTTTTCCCCAAAAAAGTTTGGTCTTTAATTGTTTACCACAATGCTAAGAATTGGCCTAAATTAGATGGTAGAGTCAGCAGGTAGTTTCTGGTAGCATAGTTGAAACAGAAGCGTCTGAGACTGCAGGGGACAGTGAGGGAACTATTCTTCCATTTACTATCTGAAAGGCTTTGGTAATAATTAGGTTGTACTGTCAGTTATAAATATCTTAGCAAGGGGTGTGTGTTTGAGTGTGTCTCTGTGTGTGTGTGTGTGTGTGTGTGTGTGTCAGAGAGAGAGAGAGAGAGAGAGAGAGAGAGAGATGAGGAGAAGACAGGAGAGGAGAGGAGAGGAGAGGAAAGTGTCACTCATCACAATTTCACCTTCTTCTACTATATGAAGCCCCATATCCTGTCTATTAGTTTGCTAAGGCTGATGTACCAAAGTATTGCAAACTGGGTAGTTTAAACAAAAATACAGGGGGTATGAAATGTACACACATTTTAAGAGATGTTATCTATGTATTACTTTTTGAAGTTGAATTAAATTATGGTAGCAATATGTAGTATGATGTTTGCTCAACCATGCTTCCATTATTTTCTTTTACTGTCCTGCCTGTTGCATGGTGATGTTAACATTCACTTGATTAATGTCATCTTTTGAGCAAACATCATATTTAAAATGTGTATACATTTTTTGGCACTTCCTGTATATTGTCTCACAACTCTGGAGGCCAGAAATCTGAAATCAAGGTGATGGGAAGATTGTTTCCTTCTGAGGGCTGTGAGGGAGAATCTGTCCTATGGCCCTCCCTCAGCTTTTGGTGGTTCACTGGCATTCCTCAGTTTCTCTGTCTTCATCTTCAAGTGACATTCTCTCTGTGCAGGTGCCCGTGTCCAAATTTCCCCTTTTTAGAGACTACCAATCACATCAGATTAAGGGCTCACCCTACTACAGAATGGTCTCATTTAACTAAGTACATCTGCAAAGATCTTATTTCCAAATAAGATCACATTCTTAGGTACTCGGGGTTAGGAATGCACAATTCAACCCACAACATCATGTCACAAAAATAAGTGTCGATATCGGACGTGATTGTGACTTTCCTAGTTTACCTTTACAAATAAGCATTTGTACTTACAAATGTATCTGTTTGCAGAAATATTTTCAGTATTTATACTGACAGAAGAAATAGCAATGTGATAGTTTCAACTTTCTTGGCTGAATTCATATACTATGAATTCATGTATGCTGGGTGGTAATATTTATTTCATTTTCTGTATTCCCTGGTAGACTTATGCGGTAAGTATGGCATAATGGTCACTATCACACTCAGCATTTAGTTGACTTGCAGTTGGTAAGTTTTCAATATTTGTTGAATGAATGAATGAATAAGCATGCTCTTAAGTTTTAGATATTTAAATATGGGAATGGGTAGCATTGAGGCCTTAATTTTGATGTTTAAGCTGTGGTTGCAGGTATAGAATCTGTAGTAAGGATATTATGAGAGAGAGAGAGAGAGAGAGAGAGAGAGAGAGAGAGAGAGAGAGAGAGAGAGAGTTGTGCTCACTGCTGAAAAAAATGCTGTTTCAGCACCCATTAATTTAATCATAATCTTTCTCTCTGGGTAAGGCACAGAATTGCTTATAAGAGGACAGTTCTGTCTTTCTAATTATTGTAAATTTTGTAATAATGAAGTTTTTCTATTGCACCTAAGAAAGTTAATGCTAAATGTTATTTAGTTTCTATAAAATGTAGCTACTAAGTTATTGTTAGCTTATTTATTGTACAGACATTTATTTGTAGAAACTACTAACTTATTTGTAGAACCATTTTCAAAAATGGGGTTTGTTAGCAGAAGTACTTCTTGACATGAATAATTAAGAAGATTAAGGCATTTGATTGAATATTTTGCTGATATACTATTTATATTATTTATCTTTTTTTTTTTTGAGACAACATCTTACTCTATTGCCCAGACTGGAGTGCAGTGACATGATCCCGACTCACTGCAGCCTTGACCTTCTGGGCTCAGGCCATCCTTCCACCTCAGCCTCTAGAGTAGCTGGGACTACAGGCATGTACCACCACATGCCTGGCTGATTTTTTTTTTTTTTTTTTAACTTTTCTGTAAACAGGTCTTGCTGATTTTGAACTCCTGGGCTCAAGCAATCCTCTCACCTAGGCATCCTAAAGTGCTGGGAATACAGGGGTGAGACACTATACCAGGTCTATTTATTTATATTTTTATATACCATTACATTTATACTATATAATAGTATTTTAAAACTTCTTTTAAAAATATGCTATAAAAGCCAGTATCATATTCATAAAGAAACATTAAAATATTCTCATTCTTTGTCCCTTCACCCCTTTGTCCAAAATGCCATTCTCTTTGCCTTTGCAGATCCTCAGTTGAGCTCCCACCTATGAGAACATGAGGCATTTGATTTTCTGTTTCTGAGTTAGTTCACTTAGGATGATATTCTCCAATTTCATCCAAGTTACTGCAAAACACATTATTTCATTCTTTTTGATAGGTGAATAGTATCTGGTCGTGTATATATACCATATTTTCATTATTCACTGATTGGTTCATGGGTATTTAGGTTGATTCCACATCTTTGCAATTGTGAATTGTGCTGCAATGAACATGCGAGTGTAGGTGTCTTTTTTATATAACAACAAAAAGTCACCTACCAAGTAAAATGTGCACAGGTGGGGAGTGCTGAACAAGTTTAAAGCCCAGATTTCTTTGCCATTATACAAGTCCTAATGCAACCATGTAACCAGAAACAATTTGTACCCTCT